GCTCTACTAAAGCACGACACTCCCAGACTTGACCTTAGCTAAGTCAAGGTTATGCTGGCAGACAAGACTACCTTATGCGCATAGGCCAGCCCGCCTTGTCACCTATAATCCCTTGTGTTTATGTCCCCCAGACGGACGCATTTATCACACGCAAGCAAACAGTCCATTCGGACTACATAAAGCGGAGTTGGCAAGCGAACACATCTGGACATAAATTAAAAACTCCAACCCGAAGACCAACTGATGACCAAAATTGGAACACGCTTCCTGTCACATACCACAAACTGCAGCGTGTGAGTGTTGCTGTATTGACCCTGCTTGGATCTACACATGCCTGTGGACGGTCATTCTCACATTCTCAAGTCCACCCTACGATCATGTCTAACGGTTGAAAGCCTCAATGCTTACATGCAGCTTAACCTCACCAACTACCAACCAGACTACAAAGCCATCGGCGAATTCCGGCAGCACCAGAAGTCAAATTAACAGTGAGTATTATAAGAACATTATTTAAAAGAATAAATCCAGAGGCTTTTTATGCTCACATTTAATTGAATTTAATCTGAAAGTATATTTGATGGCTCTCGCTGAAATATACGGCCAAATATTTACTTTCTTGGCTCTCTGATTCAACAAGGTTGCCGACCTCTGGCCTAACTGCTGAAGTGTGAAGATCGAAATTTAAGTGGAGGGTTCAACACACATTTGAGTTTGTTTATTTTATAAATCGAATTGACCTGCGGTTCAAAATACTATTTACTAGAAAGGATTTCATTTCAGATTTCATTTAAGAGAAATAGACGCAGACGCAATCCACAGTTTGTCTATATCCAAGGACAAAAACTTACTACCTGTGCGTGCTGTACTATAAAAGAATATTAATAAAAAGCAAGAGACGTTGTAAGTATACCTTTACAGAAAACGGATAATTTCGTTTTGCGCTCATGAACTGGAGGTAAATGCGAGCATGAGATAACGCATTGTTTTCAGGAACTGCAGAGCGGATTCAGTTTACAAAATTCTGTTTTG